TATCCAATTTCAAAAAGTATTATGTTTTAACGACACAGTATGGTTAAATCCCACATCCAATAACAAGAAATCAGATATCCACCATCAAGCTCTAAGAAAAATTAAACCTATTTTGCTTTGTTATTGATGGTGTCCAATAGGAAGGAAGCCATAAAATCTAGGATAATCACTTTAAGACACATGAGAGTCATATATTAAGGGAAAAGATCAGCAGTTACATGTCTTCTCCTTAAACCACAAAATCCAGAAAAGTATGTCATGTACTTTTATGTAGAGAAAATATAATAAAGTAAAAAAAGTCATATATGTAAAGGGAAAAGATTGCAGTTACACTTCTTCCTCTTGAACCACAAAACCCAGAAAAGTATTACATGTATTTTATGAGAGAAAAGGAGCAGAAAACATAGTTTAAAGCTGAGAGCACTCAGACATATGTCAGACTCAAGCAACTATAAATATTTTGGTAGCATTTATACAAAAGTTCAATGTTCATCTGCACACTAGTTCAAGTAAACAGAATGTCATTCAAGTTCAGCACACTACTAAAGGTCAATTAAGAAGCCATGATACCTGAGTAAGATCTTGGAGAATTTCCTGATGACGAGTTAGGGTGTGAGAAACCATTTCAGATCCTCCAGACGAAACCCAATCTTGCATTTGAATGTTGACTTGTTGTAGCTGTTTTAGTAGTCTGTCTATCCCAGATTCAAGATCGTTCTCTCCTGTGTCAACTTTAGTAGAGACCTTAGTGGAAACAAGCTTTCGGTACGAATTCATCTGCTCATCCAACTGTGCTTCCAATTTTCTTGCCTGCAATTATAGATAAATCAATCATTTGCATAAAAGAAAAATAATAATGAGATTACTTTGGCAACAATCACTAAAGTATAAGTACATTAAAATGAGCAGACAATTAAAGTGAAGTTGTCCACCAATTCAAAACTAAGAGATGGGAACTAGGGCAGTCAAACAGGTTTAGAAACAACAGTTTTCACAAGAAATCTGCAAAGTTCTAATGATATACCTCTTCTCTAAGATTTGTGTTGTTGCATCCCCAAAGATAAACCAGCATCGCTTATTATTTTAACCAATCCAAGTTTGAAATATGCATCAGGAGGTATTTTAGATGAAATTAGGATAATAATTTCTCAAAATAAATTTTAAAGCAAGTTTAATGAATTACCCTTTTTCTAAGATTTGAGAGGTTTGTGCCTCTAAATTTAACAATGATATTATTTTCTGTTTCGAAGGTTATGACCACTGGAATAAGACAACTAATGTGCCTCTGTTATTTTTTCATAAGAAACTTTAGACAGACAATAAGCCTAAAAGTTAAATAAATTCTCATTTTCTATATTTGGTCAAGTAAGGGTCTTAGTCACTGGAATCAAACAACCAATGAAGGCCATTAAACTCCAGTTTTTCAACTATGGTTTTCAACTTTATAATAGTATTCATGCCATTCAACAAGCAGAAAACTCAAATTTCAGGAACTAAGGCAACATAGGCTAGGTATATGAATAAATCACAAGACAATTGTCATCAACAGACTCCCAAATGAAGTTCTTTAAGAATGACCCAACCCAAGGGTCTTCAAAATTGCAATTGAACCAGCAAGGGGATAAAGTATAGGTAAAACATGTGTATTCCATCAACAACCATTCAAGAACTGCACTCTTAATCAAGTTATGGAAGTTTCAGAATGACGTGGCAGCTAATAAACATCGTTTTAATTCTTCACATTGGGTTTATGTCCTCAAAAAGAATCAAGCTTGCCACCTAACAGATCAAAAAATAAATTCCGTTGATCTGAGTCCAGGGTACAAACCTACTAATGTTTACCTGGTCATTATCAATTTAAAAAGTAGAGTTTGAAAACCAAATTAACATTAATTACGTACACATCAATAATTTTTTCCCTATTCCAAGGAGCCGGTTAACTAATGTTTAATCATTTTATGCTCATCTGAGACAGTAAACGAAAATAGAATTCATGATTTGCTCAATGATAAGATTAATTAATCTCATTAAATGCAATACTTGTCTCTAGTTCCTATTGTTAGCAAATGCTATAACACACTCACACTGTATCATCAAATATAGCTTTTGATAATGACAATTAGTAAACAGCTCTAAGTGAAATGACCAAAAGGAGCATGGTCCTTTTACAGAGCAGCAAACTAGGAGATTGGTCCTCAGCACCTTTAGCCATGGGTAAGGGATTAAATTTCAAACTGTTTGTCAAATTATCCGGGGAAACCAAAATCAGAATTCACAATTAATGGGGACCAGAGAAGTCTTGTAATCCATTAGTGTTATGCCCAACTTCTCTCACATTCAATTCATACGAAAGGGTGATCGAAAGAAAGGATTACAGATGGAGTCTGTCTCCTTCTGGGCGTTTAATGTGTAGAAGTGAAGAGACTTTTGATCATGTACTCCTTAATTGTTCTTGTACCATCCTCAAAATGAGGAAAAACAAATACTGTCCTCATTCCATTTTCTTGTGAAGCACCATACAAGGAGAACAAGTGAAAAACCTTATTAGTAGAATAAGGTTCCATCCATCTTTTATCAACCACAGTGCTACATTAACAAATGCAATTTTGAGGAGACTCTTCCTGGTGGACAGGAGGCTGATTGCAACAAAGTAAATCACATAAAATCCCCCAAGGCAGACAGTTAAACATTTCAAATTAGTTGCTATCCAGAAAACAAGAAACATCTCCAATCAAAAGCCAATATATAATTGCAACAAGTTACATCAGCAACTTAGTACAATCCTTTTCATGACCAGGAAGGAGGGCTCTCCTTCATATACAACGGTAAGTTAATATACAAGAACTATCTGATTTTTAAACAACCTGGGAGCACATATGGTAACCAGAAACAGAAAAGATGGATAATCCAAAGAGTTGAGATTTGTGGTCCAAATCCCCTTGTGGCCCATGCTTAGGATATTCAATCCCAGAAGTTTCTGGCCACTAATGTTGTAGGGCCCAAAAGGTAGTCCCAATTTAGAACTCAAAGATGTGCTACAAATCCCCTCGCGGCCACCTGCTAGGATATTCATATCCCAGAAGTTTTCTGGCCACTAGTGTTTTAGGGCCCAAAAATAGTCCCAATTTAGACTGGAGAGCATGTAAAGAGGATTGTGGAATTTGGATATTAGGAAAAAGAAAAAAGAGATGTGTCTGATATTCTTTAATTCCTCACCCTTTACAGACAAACACCAATTATCATAATTAGTTAGCAATGTCACGGCAATCTAAATCATCCTTTCATTCTAAGGACAAAAAAATTATATTGGCACTTATTTACCAAAAAAAGAAGAATTATCTGTGTACATACTGTCCTGTATTTCGGCCAATGGATGCATGCTCTTTAAGGAGAGCTTGTTCTGCAGAACCAACACTCTTCGAAATCTAATCTAGTCCGATCAAACTCTCTAAAATCCTCAAGGAGTGAAGCATGTTCTTGCTTAGCTTTAAGGCTGGAGCGGAGACGATAAAATTCCTGCACTTCAATCATGTCTAACAGAAGTTGGTGCCCATTCGTGCAATCTAATGGTTCATAGCAAACAAAAGCAAAATTGACAAACCAAAAAACCAAAAACTAAGGCATTCATACATGCTGGCTTCAACTAGCTTTAAGTCCAAAAACTCTCCAGTAACAAATGAAGCGCTTAAAATGAACCTTAAAGGTATTTTTCATAATATCCCACATCTCAAGACTCAAAAATCTGAACTCTTGTCTATAAAGGGCATAAATACAACAATTACAACAACACCAAACCTGGAGAACTAGTTAATGGAAAGATTGTGCTAATTACCAAACTACAAGATGCATAGATGATATGAAATTCCAGAAACAAATGTGTGTGACAAGAGAGAGAGAGTAAGAAGACAACAATGAGTAATTCGAAAAACCTCAAACTGCAATGTTATCCAATTTCAAAAAGTATTATGTTTTAACGCACACAGTATGGTTAAATCCCACATCCAATAACAAGAAATCGATATCACCATCAAGCTCTAAGAAAAATTAAACCTATTTTGCTTTGTTATTGATGGTGTCCAATAGGAAGGAAGCCATAAAATCTAGGATAATCACTTTAAGAACATGAGAGTCATATATAAGGGAAAAGATCAGCAGTTACATGTCTTCTCCTTAAACCACAAAATCCAGAAAAGTATGTCCTGTACTTTTATGTGAGAGAAAATAATAAAGTAAAAAAAGTCATATATGTAAAGGGAAAGATTGCAGTTACATTTCCTCTTGAACCACAAAACCAGAAAAGTATTACATGTATTTTATGAGTAAAAAAAAAAAAATTCAAAATTTGAGAGTATAAATAAATAGTACAAAAGTTGCATTCAAGTTTAAACTTTAAAGTAGTCTATAAAATTCTCCCGTAAAAAAATTTCAAGAATAGATAACAACTTTCATCATTTTATCACTTAATAAAAATGGAATAACATTAATTATAAGTAAGAATATATATGAGTTTTAAGATAACCCAGTTAAAACGAGGAGAAAGTGGCATGAATGACAAATGAATATGAAAGTCCTCCACACCTTTGTACAAGAGAGTCCCAAAACCACTTACCAAAAAGAGTCCAAAACCAAAACATTATCATCAAAAATGGGCTGGGGTAGACATATCACTATGACGAAGAAACAATAAACTTTTGATCATGGCTATGACTGCTCACTTTTTTTACAACATTACAAAATTATTCAAGAGCATTGCCCCCGATTCAATCTGATGAGACATTACTTGGGAGCCTTTCAGTTGAAGAGGACCCCCCACATTCTTCGTCCTTCAATCTCTTTGCATCTTCTACACTGTTTTGCGTTGACTTATACTATTCTTGATAATTTATTTCCCCAGAAACATGGAACTAATATAATCTTTGCCGAAAACATTGGATTAGATATTATGATCTTTCATTGTGCAAGAATATAAAAAGATGCTTAATTGAACGAATCTCGATTTCCCAAGAATCAAATGAGAATTAAAATTGCGGCGATGGCTTTGAAAAGTAACATTTGTGTCTTACATTGAGCCTTTCACTTTCCTATGATACGTATGTCTATACATCTGTTGTTCTGAGCTTTGGTGTTACAGAGATGAAGAAAACACAATGGACTACCAACTGGAAACAATTTCACAATAGTATAACAAAAGAAAAGCAGCCTCCGTTAACCCACTATTAGAAAGCATCAAGATAAGGTATCATCACATTCTCACTTGGTCAACCAATAGATAAAAATCAGAAATGTGCATACGGATGCGACAAGGGAGAGAATGATTGTATCCATTGACTTTTTTCTCCTTATCGCTGAAAGAATGTTATTTACCTGCAATGGTTTGTCAAAGCAGTGCATCGATCAATACAAGGATACAAACAGTTCAATATTGCCAAAAACAAGTACAAACAAAAATCTATGCTAAGAGCAGCTTCGTGTTATGTGATCACTCCATTATGTTTTGTCTCTCCTTTAAATGATGTCAACTTGATTCACTGAACCATTCACAATTTCTTTCTTTCTTTCAGCATCATACAATGCACTTAAGTGTTAAAACGTCCTTTACTGTAGATTTTGTAATCTAGATTATATTTCTGTGTGACTAATCCTTTTCTCAAGCACCTTAACTCTTTCTAAGAGTCCACACATCATGGAAAGCAATAAGATTCAAATTCCAGTTCATGCATATGCTAAACGAGCTCTGAAAAAAATAATAAATTACTATTTGAGAAATGTATTAAACATGAATAACCACATTAAGAGATGTTCATACCGAGGGAAGGCGGCTGCTAACATTACTGAGCTTTGAGTTGATGCCCCCGAATGTTGAACGTTGAAGGACCAGCGTACCAAGTGTTGCTTGAGCTTGTGAAATCACAGAATCCATCTGCAGCACCAGAAAATAACAGGCAACTGCGATGAAATGCTATAGTTGAAATAAATATCAGTTCACTTTAGCAGTTTGATCTCCTTTCTTTTAATTATATTCCATATAATGTGCCTCTAGAGATTCTACAACTTTCCATCTTAATACATTAAAAAACAAATTCAATCAATAGTTTTATTTTTATTATTTCTATATCTTATTCATGTGCCCAGGCAATTGGCTTGGAGATGGAGATCAACCAACATGACAAAATGGAATTCTAAAAAATTGATGCATGAATCTGCTCTAAGTTCTCTTTGAATTTCTAGTTAAGGATTAAAAAAAATTGTTTATCTACAAAAGAAAGACCTCAATACCACAGACATTTTTTTTAATGAATGCAATAGAGATAAGAATTGTGAAGAAGCTAAATAAAAGCTTCATTGAGCCCGCTTCAAAATTATTAATTCTACAACTTATCTGTGAAATATGCTACTCTTTCAACCCATGACGTAATTCTCCACAGTCCACATTAAACCAAGCTTACCAGTAATTACACACATGTCAATGTTTAAAAAGCAGACTCAATATTACAGTATATTAGAATTTGACATTAATTCCGTCCACAAAAAGTTAACACTAAGAACCATTATCATATATTACCTTTCCAAACAAATTACCACATTTGCAGATTGGCAGCTACCTTTCTTTAAGTATATTATGTTTCAATGGAGGATAATGAATATACAGAAAATGAATATACATAATTTATTTAGCAACCCAAAATACAGTAAGATAATCCCAATTGGATGCAAAATACCCAAATCCACCTTATTTGGATCTAGAAATTCTGTTACAACTGGTTAGTGCACCTGCATATTAATCAAGACAGCTGAACAGAAACATACTATAGCTTAAGACAACCTGGGAGCACATATGGTAACCAGAAACAGAAAAGATGGATAATCCAAAGAGTTGAGATTTGTGGTCCAAATCCCCTTGTGGCCACCTGCTTAGGATATTCATATCCCAGAAGTTTTCTGGCCACTAATGTTGTAGGGCCCAAAAGTAGTCCCAATTTAGAACTCAAAGATTTGTAGTACAAATCCCCTTGCGGCCACCTGCTTAGGATATTCATATCCCAGAAGTTTTCTGGCCACTAATGTTTTAGGGCCCAAAAATAGTCCCAATTTAGAACTTGGAGAGCATGTAAAGAGGATTGTGGAATTTGGATATTAGGAAAAAAGAAAAAAGAGATTGTCTGATATTCTTTAATTCCTCACTCTTTACAGACAAACTAACCAATTATCATAATTAAGTTAGCAATGTCACGGCAATCTAAATCATCATTTCATTCTAAGGACAAAAAAATTATATTGGCACTTAATTTACCCAAAAAAAGAAGAATTATCTGTGTACATACCTGTCCTGTACTTCGGCCAATGGATACATGCTCTTTAAGGAGAGCTTGTTCTGCAGAACCAACACCTTCTTCCAAATCTAACCTAGTCCGATCAAACTCTCTAAAATCCTCAAGGAGTGAAGCATGTTCTTGCTTAGCTTTAAGGCTGGAGCGGAGACGATAAAATTCCTGCACTTCAATCATGTCTAACAAGAAGTTGGTGCCCATTCGTGCAATCTAATGGTTCATAGCAAACAAAAGCAAAATTGACAAACCAAAAAACCAAAAACTAAGGCATTCATACATGCTGGCTTCAACTAGCTTTAAGTCCAAAAACTCTCCAGTAACAAATGAAGCGCTTAAAATGAACCTTAAAGGTATATTTTTCATAATATCCCACATCTCAAGACTCAAAAATCTGAACTCTTGTCTTNTGTAGGGCCCAAAAATAGTCCCAATTTAGAACTTGGAGAGCATGTAAAGAGGATTGTGGAATTTGGATATTAGGAAAAAAGAAAAAAGAGATTGTCTGATATTCTTTAATTCCTCACTCTTTACAGACAAACTAACCAATTATCATAATTAAGTTAGCAATGTCACGGCAATCTAAATCATCATTTCATTCGAAGGACAAAAAAATTATATTGGCACTTAATTTACCCAAAAAAAGAAGAATTATCTGTGTACATACCTGTCCTGTATTTCGGCCAATGGATGCATGCTCTTTAAGGAGAGCTTGTTCTGCAGAACCAACACCTTCTTCGAAATCTAATCTAGTCCGATCAAACTCTCTAAAATCCTCAAGGAGTGAAGCATGTTCTTGCTTAGCTTTAAGGCTGGAGCGGAGACGATAAAATTCCTGCACTTCAATCATGTCTAACAAGAAGTTGGTGCCCATTCGTGCAATCTAATGGTTCATAGCAAACAAAAGCAAAATTGACAAACCAAATAACCAAAAACTAAGGTGTTCATACATGCTGGCTTCAACTAGCTTTAAGTCCAAAAACTCTCCAGTAACAAATGAAGAGCTTAAAATGAACCTTAAAGGTGTATTTTTCATAATATCCCACATCTCAAGACTCAAAAATCTGAACTCTTGTCTTTAAAGGGCATAAATACAACAATTAACAACACCAAACCTGGAGAACTTAGTTAATGGAAAGAATGTGCTAATTACCAAACTACAAGATGCATAGATGATATGAAATTCCAGAAACAAATGTGCGTGACAAAGAGAGAGAGAGAGAGAGAGAGAGAGAGAGAGAGAGGTAAGACATATAATGAGTAATTTGAAAAACCTCAAACTGCAATGTTATCCAATTTCAAAAAGTATTATGTTTTAACGACACAGTATGGTTAAATCCCACATCCAATAACAAGAAATCAGATATCCACCATCAAGCTCTAAGAAAAATTAAACCTATTTTGCTTTGTTATTGATGGTGTCCAATAGGAAGGAAGCCATAAAATCTAGTATAATCACTTTAAGATGCATGAGAGTCATATATTAAGGGAAAAGATCAGCAGTTACATGTCTTCTCCTTAAGCCACAAAATCCAGAAAAGTATGTCATGTACTTTTATGAAGAGAAAATATAATAAAGTAAAAAAAGTCATATATGTAAAGGGAAAAGATTGCAGTTACACTTCTTCCTCTTGAACCACAAAACCCAGAAAAGTATTACATGTATTTTATGAGAGAAAAGGAGCAGAAAACATAGTTTAAAGCTGAGAGCACTCAGACATATGTCAGACTCAAGCAACTATAAATATTTTGGTAGCATTTATACAAAAGTTCAATGTTCATCTGCACACTAGTTCAAGTAAACAGAATGTCATTCAAGTTCAGCACACTACTAAAGGTCAATTAAGAAGCCATGATACCTGAGTAAGATCTTGGAGAATTTCCTGATGACGAGTTAGGGTGTGAGAAACCATTTCAGATCCTCCAGACGAAACCCAATCTTGCATTTGAATGTTGACTTGTTGTAGCTGTTTTAGTAGTCTGTCTATCCCAGATTCAAGATCGTTCTCTCCTGTGTCAACTTTAGTAGAGACCTTAGTGGAAACAAGCTTTCGGTACGAATTCATCTGCTCATCCAACTGTGCTTCCAATTTTCTTGCCTGCAATTATAGATAAATCAATCATTTGCATAAAAGAAAAATAATAATGAGATTACTTTGGCAACAATCACTAAAGTATAAGTACATTAAAATGAGCAGACAATTAAAGTGAAGTTGTCCACCAATTCAAAACTAAGAGATGGGAACTAGGGCAGTCAAACAGGTTTAGAAACAACAGTTTTCACAAGAAATCTGCAAAGTTCTAATGATATACCTCTTCTCTAAGATTTGTGTTGTTGCATCCCCAAAGATAAACCAGCATCGCTTATTATTTTAACCAATCCAAGTTTGAAATATGCATCAGGAGGTATTTTAGATGAAATTAGGATAATAATTTCTCAAAATAAATTTTAAAGCAAGTTTAATGAATTACCCTTTTTCTAAGATTTGAGAGGTTTGTGCCTCTAAATTTAACAATGATATTATTTTCTGTTTCGAAGGTTATGACCACTGGAATAAGACAACTAATGTGCCTCTGTTATTTTTTCATAACAAACTTTAGACAGACAATAAGCCTAAAAGTTAAATAAATTCTCATTTTCTATATTTGGTCAAGTAAGGGTCTTAGTCACTGGAATCAAACAACCAATGAAGGCCATTAAACTCCAGTTTTTCAACTATGGTTTTCAACTTTATAACAGTATTCATGCCATTAGACAAGCAGAAAACTCAAATTTCAGGAACTAAGGCAACATACGCTAGGTATATGAATAAATCACAAGACAATTGTCATCAACAGACTCCAAAATGAAGTTCTTTAAGAATGACCAACCCAAGGGTCTTCAAAATTGCAATTGAACCAGCAAGGGGATAAAGTATAGGTAAAACATGTATATTCCATCAACAACCATTCAAGAACTGCACTCTTAATCAAGCTATGGAAGTTTCAGAATGATGTGGCAGCTAACAAACATTGTTTTAATTCTTCACGTTGGGTTTATGTCCTCAAAAAGAATCAAGCTTGCCACCTAAAAGATCAAAAAATAAATTCCGTTGATCTGAATCCAGGGTACGAACCTACTAATGTTTACCTGGTCATTATCAATTTAAAAAGTAGAGTTTGAAAACAAAATTAACATTAATTACGTACACATCAATAATTTTTTCCCTATTCCAAGGAGCCGGTTAACTAATGTTTAATCATTTTATGCTCATCTGAGACAGTAAACGAAAATAGAATTCATGATTTGCTCAATGATAAGATTAATTAATCTCATTAAATGCAATACTTGTCTCTAGTTCCTATTGTTAGCAAATGCTATAACACACTCACACTGTATCATCAAATATAGCTTTTGATAATGACAATTAGTAAACAGCTCTAAGTGAAATGACCAAAAGGAGCATGGTCCTTTTACTGAGCAGCAAACTAGGAGATTGGTCCTCAGCACCTTTAGCCATGGGTAAGGGATTAAATTTCAAACTGTTTGTCAAATTATCCGGGGAAACCAAAATCAGAATTCACAATTAATGGGGACCAGAGAAGTCTTGTAATCCATTAGTGTTATGCCCAACTTCTCTCACATTCAATTCATACGAAAGGGTGATCGAAAGAAAGGATTACAGATGGAGTCTGTCTCCTTCTGGGCGTTTAATGTGTAGAAGTGAAGAGACTTTTGATCATGTACTCCTTAATTGTTCTTGTACCATCCTCAAAATGAGGAAAAACAAATACTGTCCTCATTCCATTTTCTTGTGAAGCACCATACAAGGAGAACAAGTGAAAAACCTTATTAGTAGAATAAGGTTCCATCCATCTTTTATCAACCACAGTGCTACATTAACAAATGCAATTTTGAGGAGACTCTTCCTGGTGGACAGGAGGCTGATTGCAACAAAGTAAATCACATAAAATCCCCCAAGGCAGACAGTTAAACATTTCAAATTAGTTGCTATCCAGAAAACAAGAAACATCTCCAATCAAAAGCCAATATATAATTGCAACAAGTTACATCAGCAACTTAGTACAATCCTTTTCATGACCAGGAAGGAGGGCTCTCCTTCATATACAACGGTAAGTTAATATACAAGAACTATCTGATTTTTAAACCAAAAAAAAAAAAAAAATAGAAGCACTGACCAAACTATAGCCACAAGAAATTCCTAAGCGTTTGTCAGAAGAAAGCACAGTGCACATCAAGGAGGCAGAATACTAATTTCACTTCACACGAAACAAACTTCTAACCTTTTACTATCTGTTTGGATCTAATAAGTTAACAATCATCTGATTTTCCTTCCTGTCCTTCATTCTCTTCAGAATCAAACAGAGCTTTAAGGCACGCAACCTCCATAATTATGCATAATTCGAGGTCAATTCAATATTGAATTGTCAATGCCTTCAAAATAATCTCACCAATAACATCAGATCCATATAATTCTCATTCATAATCCCTAAACCTTTAATTCCTAAATCAGACACGCCTTCTAGAAAGCTTAAAGACTAGATTGATTCAGTACCAAACTATAACACAGATTAATCGAGTCAAATTATTAGCTATCCAATCCAATCCAATCAAAGAATCGTATGTAATTCCTCTAACATTAATCGCAATTCTCGACTTCATACCTCGTATCTTAAACAATTCCACAATTCAGTTCCGAAATTCTTTGCAACCAAATAGAACTCAACAAGAAATCTTAAAAAAAAAAAAAAATCAAAATCAAAAGAAAAGAAACTGAACCTGTTTGCGTAACGCGTCCCATGAGCTCGGTACTTCCATGGTTGAACAGCAATTCGATCTCTCAAAAATTCAAACTCCTCTGTTTGATTATTTAAAAAATAGATTTATTGCTTCTTGTTTGAATAAGAGAAATAGAAAGAAAGGTTTTGATTAAGGGGTTGTTTGGAGACGGAGACAGATTGTCTACTCAACGGCAGTATGGCCGATTGCGTAATCACTAATTCATTAACCGGCCCGGGATGAATAAGATCCTGTGTTATTGATTTTGGTGAAAAGGTCATAACCTATACTTTCTTTCCGAAAATGCCCCGTTGTTTTAAAGAGAGATTGTTTATATCGATTGAGGTACAATGCCGTTTGTAGGAAATGAAATTTGGTATTGCCGCGTATTCTAAACTCGTCAAGTTGGGTCGGCGGGTATTGTATTAAAGAATAAAGAATTCACGCTACAGTTAAAATTATTTTATCAAGAAATTAAGGATTAAATTATATTCCGATTGTTTCGAGTTGGACATTATCGTTAATATCTTTCAAATCATTTTAAACAAAGAAATAAAATAAAAATTTGTGAAATAATATAATTTTAATAAAGTACAGTATTTTGGTTTAGAAAACGACCAACCATATTAAATTAATTTTATTTTACTTTATTCGCCCATTTTGAGACGTTTCATTGCAGTTGCTTTTATTAATCTTCGTGAAAGGAAGACGTTTGATTCAAGGGATGTTATTAAACTGCCCAGTGCCCACCGTTTGGGCAACAATAAATTAGCGTTAATCATTTCAACGAGTACGCACTGATACGCCTGAAATGACCCGCCTGATGGGAGAGCGACTTAGACATAACTAAGTTTCCGTAATGAGAAGTTGAAGTTGGTACTCAAAAAGTTTGAGAAAGATAAAAGATATTTTCCGTCCTGTACCGTTATAAATTTTCGTTTTATAATAGTAAAAAAACTGAAATACCTTTTCAAGTTTGACATCTTAGTCTTTAATTAATTTATCACTAGTCTACTTATTCATAGTAACGGATCTAGGAATTTCTTTTAAGGTGGGCTAAAATAAAAATTTATTATACATTATTTTTTTTTATCCATTAATATTTTTGTTAGGGTGGACCAAAATATATAAATTATATATATTAATATTAAAAAAAAAATTCAAAAAGTGGCTGGATCTGCCACTGCTTATTCAATTACATAAATACCCACATCATTATGGTGAATTACATTATACCCTCATGTTATTATGAGTTAGTAAAATGACCATTTTATCCCTATGAGTTTATAAAAAGTGAGACACAGCAAGTGACCAATTTATCCTTGTTTTGGTAGAAGCAGTATCAATATACTCATTTGTGGCTGAAAATTGAAATTTTTCATAATTTAAAAGAAACCATTCATACAAAAGAATTGAGCAGTTTAAACAGAAACCATGAAAATTGAAATTTTTCGTAATTTAAAAGAAAGTATTCATAATTAACATCAATTCAGTACATGATATTCAATATCAATTAAGTCTTCATGGTTTAAATAGAAACCATGAATTCAGTACATGAAAATGTGATATACAACTGAAACTTCAAACTTCAAATCAGGTTTGAAAAACTGAGCAGTTTCAAGATGCACACCCATAGCTGCAAAAATAGGCACAAAATTGTCCTCGTCTCCATCCTCCAAATCCACAAATGCACACCCATAGCTGCAAAAACAAGCACAAAATTGTCAAAAGACACATTTTGAGGGGCGGACTAAGAACAATGATATTATTTATGACACCATTACCAAATATACTTTTCCAATGTAATAAACTGTAGATACATACTCTTGTCTGGTACAGACATCATCATTGCAAATCCACTACAATGGGAATGCATCGTGCAAACTGGATTCCTTAAAAAGAGACATGAGAACATTGAAAATTTTGTAAAGATAAAATCATGTTTCAGCATTCTACTATAGTTAAACCAGCGACAAGGGTCTGAATAAAGAGACTAATCCTTCCTTAGTTCCATGTATGCATGGAGAAGACCTTCTTGATTTAGGACAACAATTTCCAACAATTTATATTTTTTGAAAGAAATAGAAACTGAAAAAAAAATTCAGATGTGATACTCTTCTAATACTCAACCCCAAACAATGAAATAGTAGTAACCCTTTTAGACAAGAACCCACACAATAATAGCAATCAACAACCAATAAACCAGAGCAATCAGCCAAGAAACCCAGAAAAATATAGCAACCAACAACCAATAAATCACCCGACCAGCAAGCCAATACAAGGATAATAAATAACAAAATGCAACCCAACGACACAGATAAAGAGTAGCAAAGCTAAACTAAGACAAAAAGAGATAAAAACAATGCAAGACTTCGAATATCCTCCCCTATTTTCCACTCTTCACTTTTCTGAAAATCCTCCCCAATTCTCCCTGACTCCTTTTTATCCCATTCAGAATCTCTCCATGACAGAATTCCCACCTATCCCACATAATTCTTCCTTAACATTCACACGCCTAGGAACACTTTTGCCCAACTACAAATAATCATCTACTACCCATTCCAACACATTAGGTGTTTCATTAGATTCCCATAATTCAACTGCTAATAATCTTGCACATGAACATATCACATTATAGCTAAGTAATAATACACACCTATTCTTCTTAGTTGTTGTGTTAGAGCTCTAGGTGGCAAAAAAACATTTAGTTGACTAAGCAACATGTTCGAAACACTGAACAAAGTATAGAAACAATGGGTGGGTTAGAATAGGATAATCAAAGTACAAATAAAAAAAAAAAAAAATGTGATAGAAACAAAAACAACCTACTGCTACAGCAAACAAAAGAACTTCCCCATTGCATGATTGACTTGGTTGACCTATTAAGAAAAGTAAGAATAACATTAGCGAAGGTAAAAAGTAATTGACATAAATATTATATGGTTTAAAATAGTTGTAAGTACCCCTTGAACTTGAAGCTTGGGACAAGTTTGCTGCAACTCGAACTCCTAAAGAGGGTGCAGTCATTGTTGGCACAAAGGTTCGCTGCAAATAAAAAAATAGAAATCAGTATTATAGAAAAAATATGATGAAATTGACATTTTTTTTCTATTACCTTCCGCTTCTTCCTTTTATCGACATTTGTTGGATTTTTTTTTGCAGGACCTTTTGTTATGCCCCAAGATACTGTAGACACTACACCTAAGTGTAGAGATCCTTTTAGATTTTGGCTATTCATTTGGATCTCTCCTTCTTGATTTCAAAGGTCTGCCAACCTTAGGCTGCCTGTATGGTGGCCAAATATATTCATCACTGACCTCTGGCCAACTAGTCTTGTCGGGAATAGGGTGGACCATGTATGCATAAGTTTGCAGGTACATCGAAATTCTAAGATTCGGATCAACATAATGTTCATAGTTGGAAATGTTCTTGTGTAACAAACAGGCAATAGCATGAACACAAGGAATTCCCGATAGTTGCCATATCCCACAATTACACAGTTGCTTACCCAAAACTAGAACATGAGTTTTACATGGGTTTACATTCTCATCATCTACTTCAAACTCATCAGATCTAGGGTACCAGACTTTGACATTTCTAGCTGCCTCAATCATCTTGTCTATCTTTCTGTGAACTATTGGTGGAAGAGGTGTAATCCACTTTGTACTAGCTTTCAATCTACATTGTAACCGCTTCATTACCCTACTTCGTTAAAGTTCCAATAGACTTAGTATAGGAAGTTCCCTGTCTTCACCAAGCCATGAGTTGAAGCACTCACTCATGTTGTTAGTTATGTGATCTGACTTTGCTGTTCATGTCTGGACCATTGGTCTGGTTCATTTTCAAGCAACTATTTGTACGCACCCTTATCTACATCCTTGACACTTCCCATGGCCTTAACAAAATCTGGTCTGTTTGCAGCTTTACTCAGTGCCCAAAACAATTTCCTCATGTGAACCCTAGGAAATTTTTTTTTTGAAGTTTGCATACACATGCTGAGCACAAAATCGACTCTTTGCATTTGGCCAGTTTGCTTCTAGTGCATTTAGAATACCCTTTTACCTATCACTCATGACTGTAACATGCTCTAAATCACCCAAAAAATCATACAACAGTCCAAGGAAGAAGCCCTATGAGTCATTATTCTCCGCCTCATAAACACATATTGCCAAAGGGAATATCCCACTGTTTGCATCCATAGAGACTACCGATAGAAGTACCCCACCATAGTGACCTTTCAAATGATACCCATCAATTCCTATGAAATGCCTACACCCCTCCAAAAATCCTCTTTTTTGAACAGCAAAACTTACAAAAAATCTCTTGAATCTAGGACTTTGTGGGACTATTTCTCTAATTGTAAAATTGTCTGGGTCTTCTTCTCTAGCCAACCTAAGTTCTATCATGGATCCAAGGTTAGTGACCTGAAGAATGTGGTTGTAATTGAACAACCAGGCAAAAGACTCAACATGTTGTTTTTGGGTCATTCCGGTGGCCAACCTTCTAGCCCTATACAACTTCCTTTTATGTATCTCCAAAAAATGCACATTTCCTAATTCAGCATTTGGGCTTAACATAACTCCCCTGTGTGACTGAATGAATCCCTTCATCTTCTTAGCAATCCATGAGGCAGAGGCATCTGGGTTGTTATATATTCTAAGGCATGTGTGGTTGGTTTAATATTTCCTAATCTCCCACGATTGTTTGTCAACCATTAAGGTTGCAAATAGAAAGAATGGGCAGCCTTCTTCTTTACACACTGCTTTGATCCTCTGCTTGTCATTATGCACCCTCTCACTGCGAACCCTTTTTGAATTATGTAGTCCTCGAAAATTTCACTAAAATGGATTTTATTTCTAAAAACCTACCCCACCTCAAATTTAATTTTCCCATCTGCCCCATACTGAAACTCACTTGCCTTCATATGCCTACTCATCCTACTTACTGCATCCTCATCCTTACTAGTCCCCCCCATGAAATCGTCATTGTTTTTCTCGTAATCAAACAGATGCCCCCCAGTTTCAATCCCTATCTCTCCCTCATTATCACTAGTTTCAGCCCTTTCCTCTCTCCCATCATCTCCATCATTATCACCAGTCTCACCATCAACATTCCCAGCTACACCAGCAAATCCATTATTGCTTTCATCATCATTGGAGGCATCACTCTAATGGAAGTCATCCTCACAATATTCTTCGGGGGGAATTTCTATTTGAGTGTCATTAGGTTTAGTATGGTTGGGTTTTGGCAAAGGCTGCAATGGTTCCACACACTGTATAGGTAAAGCTTCGACATACAACCTAATGTCCTTTAACCCCTCGGACCTATATTGCTAGAAAAGGGATGCCACATCCTCATCACTATCGATTAAACATTTCTCCTCCGACAATGGTAAAGTAGATTCCACCCTAAACTTCTCATTAAGATTAAGTTGAACTGCCTCATTCTCTTATGCAACACATTTTTTCATATCCTTTATCAATACTATGTAGTTAAATTCATTAGGGTCCACATTCCGCATCTTACAATCAATACCGAACAACTGAAATTTTAAATTAAATAGTTGTGGCTCCATCCTGCAACCCAAAAATATATAAGACAGGCTATTCACACTCCCAATAATCAATTCAAGCAAACCAGCCCCACAGTTTGGCTGGATTTTATTCATTACACACTCCATCATATAATCAACTTTTTTAAGAATAAACCCTAAACCAAACAAATAAACAACAAACCTTAAAAACAACCATACATGTAAAACCAAGAACATTCATTACACACTGCTACATACAATGAGATTGGTACGTGGCGTTGTTAACCGGGTGGTCAACCCGTAAACTTACAGGCCTCTGCACATACAAAGTACTCTTTCCCGCCAATAGCAGTGTACACCCAGTTTTCCAGCCGATATACCATACCTCATTAACAAAATGTAGTATCAAACATCACAAATGAAGGACATCATATAATCAACTCTGTTAAAAAAAAAAAAAAAAATCTAGTTGTGGCTTCATCCTGCAACTCAAAAATATATAAGACAGGCTATTCACACTCGCAATAATCAATTCAAGCAAACCAGCCCCACCGTTTGGCTGGATTTTATTCATTACACATTCTAGCATATAATCAACTCTTTTAAGAACAAACCCTAAACCAAATAAACAAACAAAAAACCTTAAAAACAACCAAACATGCAAAACCAAGAACATTCATTACAATTTACACATTGTCGTCGACCTTAGTTCAGTCATCCTCCATCGTCATCATTACCCCACGACCCTAAACCAAACAAACAAACAAAAAACTTTAAAAACAACCAAACATGCAAGTAAGAAAAACCAAGAACAAATAAGAAAAAACCGAAGAACAAACAAGAAAACCAAGAAGAAACTTTTGGTTAACCCTTCAATTTTCGTTGTTCAGTCGTCGTCGATGATTTATACTGTTAATAACGCCGACCTTAGTTCAGTCGTCCTCCACCGTCGTCGTTACCACATGATTCTCTCCCTTAGACGTCGTGTATCATCTTCGTTTAGGATTTGTTACCGTTCAGTGAACTTACTCTGCCACTATCGTCGGTTTTAGCTCCTCTATTGTCGATGGTTTCCGTTTCACTGTCGTTGATGATGGTCTCCAAACAATGGTAGCAGTTTCGTTCAAAAGCTTCTTTCAGAGAGTTAGAGACAAATGAGAAGGAAACGAAGAGGCAAAAGTTTTGCTTTATTTGATTTTTTGCAAAGTTAATTTAACGTGACACGTGTCAATCTCTAAAGTGAATCTTCCAAAAGAAGTTTCGCTCTAGATATCGAGGTGATAATTTGAAAGTTAAAAGTTTGATGGCTGTACAAAATTATTGTATTACCCTTTATGAAATAGAAATCACTAGCAGTACAAAATGGAAAGTACTTATTTGTCGTTACTAAACCTTTTGGGTACCCATTTGTCTTTACGGCAAACCTTGGCTACTTGTAAGTGTTCGACCGCCATAATATTAACTTTTATAACTAATCTTCCTTAGCTTTTATTTTTTTTATTTTATCATGTGTTCAGACTAGTTTGTACGCACCTCAACTAATTCTTTGAGACCCTAAAGTTAACAATCGGATAAATCCTCTCAGTGGCCACCCCTATTAGTTACTCAGGTGGATCAAACTTAAGACATCTTGAGTAATTTATACAAGAGTCTTAGTTGACCGTTAGACCACTCAATGATAGTTCATTTTCTTTAGCTTTTCAAATTCACTGTTGCAGAATTTTTTTATTTTTTATTTTAAATAAGTATGCATAGATAGAAAGAGAGTCTACAAGAAGATCAGAATGAAAATGATCATCCTACCTCAGGACAAACTTTGGGTTAAGATCAATAGAATCAATTAGCTTACATACAAAGACTAAAGAAGGCAAAAAAACAAGAGAAGACAAACACTTGCCTCTCCTAACTTAGGATGCCCTTTCGAGTTAGGACGCAAAAATCAACAAGCCTATACCGGACTGAAAGAAAACAATAAAAGATCTATTCCTTAGGGGTGTGCAAAAATACCTACTATCCAAATCGATCATGCTAATCGAATTGAATCCAACCAAATTTTTGTGTACCCAAAAATCCATGTTGGGTTCAGATAATAGTAGCTCATGATGTATCCGAATTTTCGGTTTGGATACCAGATAATATCAAAAAATTAAACCGGGTACTCGAAACCCGGTTTAATTAAAAAAAAAAATTTTAATTTAAAACAGTCAAATAAAACTATTACACTAAAACACGATTCTTTTCTTCCTTATTTCTTTTCTTTGACTCATAACAAAAGCGCCAAAATCACTTTGACCTAAATCGTTAATTTCTCCTGTTCTCCACTCCATTCCAGTTCGCATTCCGTCGTTCTCGTTCCAGCCGGCAGCCGATCGTCGCCAGTCCTCTATCCTCAAGCTCTCACAACAGCCGGCAGCCACACGTGGACGTCTTCAGTCCTCTGTCCTTAAGGTATGTCAGTCTTATTCTCTGTTCTATTCTCTGTTTATTCTCGGTTAGACAGCTGCTTATTGCTTGATTGAGTTCCTCTTTAATCTTTATTAACTAATTTGAAGCTCATTTTGATTAAGCAGTTCAAAAGGTTTTTGTGCCTTGTCTGACTCCTATTTGGAAGCTTATAGATAGTGTGGTAGTAAGAAGCTAGGTACGGTTTTGGTTTATGAATGTTGAATGTGCTTACTGCTTACAGGCTGAATTTTATTTGGACTCAGTTTGGTTTATTAATTTTTTGCAATGGGAAATCTAGTGTTTATCAATTAATTAATGATGAAGCACTTTTAATTTGGTTTACAACTTACCTTACCCAGAATTGAATTTGTGTGAGTTTATCAATTTGGTTTACACAAATCTAGTTTGGTTTACAGACTGGTGAAGCACTTTTAATTTAGTTTATGCCTTACCCAGAATTGAATTTATGCGAGTTTTTAAGTTACTTTTAGGAATTACTTTCATTCATAAGCACTTATTATGCTATTTGACTAATAAATTGCCTCAGAAAATGTTATTTAGTAACATATAATATATAATTAGTATGATAATATCATTAATTGTGGCTATTTGTGCATTGAATTATTTGTAATGGATTGATTTGTTTTGGGGGTCCAAATTCAAATTGTTAATGTGTTAATTTTGAGTTTAAACCATAATTATCAAACTAACTTTATGGTTATTCTTTATATTATCTCATCCTTTCAGAACAACTATTTAATAAGAGGTAGAAGACGATATCTCAAGTTTTGAGAATCATCAAGGCGTTCATCATGCCGAAGAATCCCCTTCCACTCCAGACACTTTCTCACTACATCTCTGCAGAGTTCCTTTCCAGCGAAGAAAGTCAGATTAAGCGCTCAGTTTGTATTCTGTGCCTTTGTTTCCTGTTTATTTTGGCTCTACTCATACGACGTCAAGGTGATTGCTAAGTAATAAACACCTTTGAGGGGTTTAATGTCTTTGTGGTTTGCATCATGTTATCAATCACTGGAGTATATTGTGTGTTGCTGATCAGAAACCAGCCTGAGCTTGCAGTTCTTCGGAGATGTTATTTCATGCTGTCCGTTGTTTCAATGGCATCAGCTTTATCAATATTGGGATATGCCTTGTTTCTGGAAAGTTTCAGGTGGGTTTATGGAGGACTAGATTTTGGCAAGATGAATATCTCAGCTTTTCAGATTTGATGAAAAAAGTAAGCAAAAAAGAAATTTATCAGCCAAAGATTTCTCTTATGTTCCTTTTTTAATGTTGAATTTGATAAACATAAAACTCTGCTATTTTCCTTGTGTTTTAGAATAGAGTAACTCTAAATTAGATCCAAAATATGTTATTTATATGGGTTGCGAGTTTGTTTCTAGATTGTTTATATGTTATTTGCTGATTATGACCAGAGTTCTTTTATTTGTGTGCTTCATTGAAATATATAAGATTCATGCATATTTGGGGATTTGGTTTCAATGCCTTTCACCAGAGCACAATGTTTATTTGAAGAATTTGGGGGTATGAAGGTCTTTATGATTAAAGCTTCATTGTTAGTCTGGTTCTTGGATTTGGAAGAAACCTCAACAGTTTGAAGAAGAGACTATGTTTAAATTCATTTTGAATTATTATCAAGTAAACAAGCCTCAGATTTATTGTCATTTGGTGGAGGTTTAATTGATTGAATTTCCCAATCTTCAGTATCTCCTTCTGATTCTTTGAAATGACCAATTCAAGTTCTAATCAATATTGAGTTAGAAATGTTTTGATTCGCAACCGGTAAAGATTATTTTCTTGACATTGCTAGCATGAATTGAAACATAAATTTGCATCTCCTTACTACAACAGGAACAGAAATACAGTGGTTAACTTTTGTATTGAGAAATTCAGGCCTCTGCATGTCTCCTAATCTTCTTCTTTAGTTTATTTCTTCAAGTTCTTTTCTCTTCTCCTCTGCTTTAACCTTTCGTTTCTTCACCTGCAAAAGCACATCCCCCTGATCGAATAGGTAATATTAGAAAATCAATGCTTGAAAATAATAGCTTTCCAGATTTGATGTAAAATTAGGAAAAAAGAATTATCAGTCATGTTTTTGAAGATTGCTCTTGTGTTTCTTGAATCCATGTTTGTTATTGCACTTTCCTGTAAAATTATTAATCTTCTGAACTCCATTTTGAATGTTGAATTTGACAAACATATAACTATGACATTTGCCTTCCCTTTTGGAATAGAGTAACTCTAAATTAAATCCAAAATATGTTATTTATATGGGTTGCGAGTTTGTTTCTAGATTGTTTAAATGTTATTACTGATTATGACCAGAGTTCTTGTATTTGTGTGCTTCATTGAAATATATAACATTCATGCATATTTGGGGATTTGGTTTTAATGCCTTTCACCAGAGCACAATGTTTATTTGGAGAATTTGTCTATATGCAGGTCTTTATGATTACAAGCTTCATTGTTTTGCCGGTCTGGTTCTTGGATTCGGAGAAAATCTGCATAGTTTGAAGAGACTCTACATCTCAGATTTGTGGTAATTTGTCGGAGATTTAAAGAATGTTCTTTTTGAGCTTTTGCATTTCCTAATCATCTGTATTAGCTAGCTGTTTTAATCTACAATTGATCACATATGTGAAGCTAGTTAAATGATTGCCTTTTGAAACACCCAATTCAAATTGACATGTTTTGATTCACCAGTATAGAAAACTCTTTTGGTATCATTATCGAAACTGAAATATGAAAGAAATTCTTTTATGGGTATTCAACACCTGAAAATTTTCATGAAACACTAATTATAGCAAATAGTAAAGGATATATGGGAAAAGAAATAAATATCTCAAAACTAATGGAGGAGAGGTCTGTTTTCATCAGAATCAAAGGAAGTTCTATCTTTATTCTTCAAAGTTGGGAAGCTCCAATCATTGTTTTAAAAGCCGGACTGGACCGGCCGATCCAATCGGTTGGACCGTGAACTGGCCATGTGTCCGGTTCGGTTCAATATTAAAACTGTTATAATATAATAGACCGTTTTAAACCGTTTGAAAATCGGATATTTGTAGCGAACCGCCAGTCCAACCGGACCGACGGATAAACTGGCCCAAATCTAAAAATCCCTGATACGCGAAAACCCTTTTCATCGCGTTTAGTTCTTCTCTTTCACTCCTTCTCAGCTTCTTAAGAAAATGTTCTCAAGTTTCTTATGAAAATTTTCTCAGTTTCTTACGAAATTTTCTCAGCTTCTTCTCTCTTCTCTGCGAAAATTTATCAGCTTCGTCTGTGTGTGTTGTCTGTTCTCTGCAAAAATTTATCTCTGAAATCCCACCCAAATCGCATCTGAGCTCTCTGAAATCGACGACGACGTCTTCCTCCCTCGCCGGAAATCGATGACGCTTTCCTCTCTCGTCGGAAATCGACGACGTCTTCCTCCCTCGCCAGAATCGGCGACGAAAACTCTGTTCCTCGCTGGAAATCGACAGCGACAGCTCCATTCGTTGACGACAGCTTCGTTCCTCGATCCAGGTAGCCATTCTTCGATCACATAGTTGACTTTTTTGAGAGGGTTTTAATGGTTTTAGAAGAGGATAGAATCACAGAAATGGGGAAGGAGATGAAGAGAGTGAGGCCATTGTTGTGAGTGGTTCTTGGTTGTGTCTGTGTATGGATAATTTCGTGATTCATAGCTTGTGGTTTTTGGATAAGCATTTGGTAAATGCAGTAAAACCTTTTGATAATGATGCAAACTTAAGCTGGAGCAATAATCAATGCGGCATGGCTTTAGTCATTTGTTCTTCATAAAACTTTTGACTGTAATTGTAGTATTCTGTGTAGGCTTGGCTGTGGCTGGATATGGAACTTTTGACTGTAATCGTAGTATTCTATGTAGGCTTGGCTGTGGCTAGATATGGAACTTTTGAATTTTGATTGTAATCGCAAAATCTTTGATTATTTCTACTAATTAATTGATGTCTAAATGGTGATTAGTTGGGTTGAAGATGACATGTGCCGAATAGGAAATAGATCCTTTATGAACAATTAATTGTTAGGAGATTGATCTCTTTTCTTAAGATAGCAAAGCAGTTGGTTTACATGAGCACCCAACCACTTTTCATTGCTTAGTGCATGTTTAGTACGTGTTTTTCAAGTTTCAGATAGATGGCGTAATTTTTTTAGATTGAAAGTCCTGGAAACCTAATCATATTGTAAACGTTTCATTTGTTCGATTATAACTTAGCGATCTTATAAACCTTTTTAAGTTAGCTATAGTATTTATAATGTTAGTACTTAGTACTGTATTATAATTTATATATATAGTTATATACTAAATGAATGAGAGGAAAAAAATGGAAATTATATACATACTATACATATCAGTCCTATATTTTAGGTGGGATTTACTTCTTAAAATATTTTTGAAGAGAGAAATACTATAATATACAACAAAAGAAGAGAAAAACTTGCAGATACTAGGAGCTAGCTTTGTTGTTTAATGTATATATCATAATGTGTGATGACATCATCGGTCTAACCGAGCGGGTTGTCCTCCGGTCCAGTTTTTAAAACAATGGCTCCAATAGCTTTATTAGAAAGGGGTTCTAGATTTCTAGGCTAAGGTTTTGTTTGTTATTGTATTAGATAATTCTTTAAGATTATATTTAATATTAATTATTATTATGCTTAAGATTATAATTATATATGTATCGAGAAAAATCAATTCAATACAAAATAATTTCAAATAAATAGAACATTTTCCTTGGATAAACATTTTTGTAGTCCTGTCCTGACTGGACAAAGAACTGATCCCAATCATGAAATTGTTGGTATTATCGTGTGTTGGACCTATATGGTTACAAACAACACCACAAAATTGTACAACTCCTGAGAATTGCTGGAGACTGGAGTACATTATAAACGTTATTGAAGGGGGCAGGGAGGCTTATCATTTACGAACAAAACAAAACAAAAACAATAAAAATGGTAAACTCAATTTTTTTTTTTTTTTTTTAATCATATCAATCACAATAAGAAAAAAGAGAAGTGTTAATGAAACAATATGAGAAGTGCCTTTTTAATATTGACAGTAAGGAATATTGATTCGTCATTTACATTTAATTTAAGCTTGAAAGAAATAATATGGGGAGATTGATAGATTTGAATGGAGAAGGATGAAACATGTTAAATTAAAGCACGATTAATTGTGTTTTCAAGTTAAAATGTATTAATTTAAGGTCGGTACCCTGTTTAATCAATTAATTTTCTTAATTACAAAAATAGTTAAATAAAAACGGATAAGATCCGATTTGGGCCCAACACAAACCCGGTCCATACCCGTTGCACGCATGCTATCAAAAACTCCAAACAAAACCCTAACTTTGTGTTTTAATCGTGGTGAAGGTGCTTTGAAATTGAATTATTTTTATAGTTTGATAGTGAAACCACTTGTATAATGTGAATTTTCGTTTGAAGGTTTGATTTTTAAGGCTTATATACTGAATCTCTGGCGTTTTCAGCTTAAAGTTTTGTCATTTGAGTTGGCATATTGCGTTTTAAATTGATTATATGGCACATTGCGTTGGTTGTGTGAGAGAAATTAATGGAAAAAGCCCGTTGTTGCGGTCTCATAGTAGCTCTTCTCTGAGAATTTGATAAGTATTTATCAGGATTGAAGAATTCTGAGTGTCTCACAATATTACCTTTTTATTTTATTTTATTTTATTTGCAATTAATGACTTGCTTATTTTTTTTGTTTGCCCATTTTCCTTAATGTTTGTGGTTTAGTGTAAACATGGTCTGATATTAACAATTACTAACCTGTGTCTCTATATAGGAACTGGACCTTATCCGAATGAAACAGAGAGGGAAAAGGGCGAAATCAGCTCTTGTGAAGCCAGAATCTAAGCTGCTTTTTATCATACGCATACAAGGGTTGGTTGCATTCTTTGGTGATTTGCCTGAAGTTTTTTGCTTTATATTGTTTTGGGTTCTGATATCTCACTATCATTTTATTCAGGCAAAATGACATGCACCCAAAAACTAGGAAGATCTTGTACAAACTAAGATTGATAAAAATCTTTAGCGGTGTCTTTGCCATGGCTAGTGAAGGCATATTAGAACAGCTGCAAAAGGTGGAGCCATATGTCACGTATGGGTAAGAGACAAACATTACTTTCATTATTTTGTGATATGATCTGCTTGATGTTTAGCGTGAGGATCAAACTCTAAACATTTGGTGCATCCCATGAAACTGCATGATTTTTGTATGATATGCACGTGGCTGGATGATGAATGCTGTAATCTAGAATAATCTAGAATTGTAACTTCTCCGAGGATGCATCATTTTCACTTCATATATTCGATTATCCCTTAATTAAGTAATAAGAAGATAAGTGTTTTCTGTTGAAGGATACAACTATGGTCAAGTTCTACAGATATAATTATTTCTTAAGCATCTTGGTTTATGTTCTTGATGTGGGAGTCCTGCTGGTGTTGATGAATCTGTAGCTTTTATTCCTTCAACCAAACTGCTTATTCAGAAAATCATTTTATTAGTTTATCATCTTTAGTTTCCCAATGCAAATAATTTGTAAGATGTTGCCCTGGTGTGGAGTAATGATTAACCCTTAGGTACCAAATACTCTTACCTTTAAGTCAATGGAGATAGTTATAATTTTGGTTTTTCTTTGGTATTTCACTCAGTATTGACTAGTTCGAACCTCCATGGGCTCACTTTTAACATCCAATAGCTACTTTGTATTACCTTACATTTCCACTTTCTTTTAAGAATGTCCATCACTTTATGCTTTCCCAAATTTTTTTAATGCTATAAACATTGTTCATATTGTATTGATGATATTTTTCCCTTTTCTTGTTTTTGTTTTTGTTTTTGCAGATATCCGAATCTTACAAATGTGAAGGAGCTAATATACAAGAAGGGTTATGCAAAGATAGAGAAAAAAAGTATTCCTCTGACAGATAATAACATTATTGAACAGGTATTGAATATATCTTGCTTAGATTTTCATTTCCTTCATATGCATAATATCAATCTTCGCATGGTTCTCACTACCTTTGTGTTTCCTAGATTTCTTTAATTGTTTAGTGTCTTATTGCATATCTGGCAGACATTGGGGAAATATGGGATGGTATGCATTGAAGATTTAGTACATGAAATTGCCAATGTTGGTCCACATTTCAAGGAGGTGATCAAGTTTTTGGGGCCTTTTCTACTAAGCAAGCCAGGAGGATTTCTGGGGAAGAAACAACGATTCAAGGATGGTGGAGAGTCTGGAGATCGTGAGGATCAAATCAATGATTTAATCAGTAAGATGAACTAGTATTAAGAATAGATGGAAACACATGTGAGGATCAAATCAACGATATAATCATGAAATTGTATTACAGGTTGTACCTTTGATCTGCAGTCCCCTGTATCCCAATTTTGATGTTATTTTTTTTTTTAATTTAATTTTTCTTGCCGGTATAAGTAATATCAGTTTATTTGCTGACTCAGCATATCCCTGCTATCTTCTCTGCAGCTATAAAAAGCTCACTGATTTTGTTAGGGTTGTCATTGGTTGACCATTATTTTTAACTTTTATTTACCATAGCTGTTCAATTTTGCACTTTCTGGTTTGATGAACATGTCAACATGAAAGGTTTATTGTTCTGTGACCCTGAGAACAAAATACGAGTTTGTCATTTGATTTTATTTTACATGTTATATTATAAGTTCGATGTTGTGTTAACATAAGTCGCGTTCCGGAAATGTTATCAAGTTGTATGTATCCTCTTGTTAATCTATCCACATGTTAATCTTTTTACACCTCCATGGCTGACTCAATGGAACTCTAATCTTTACACCATGGTTGACGTAATCGAGCTCTAAATTATCATGTTTTAATGGCTTAAAACTAGGATAATTAATAAGGGTTTGGGAACATTGCCAACAACAACGAAGTTACATAATCCTTGTTAAAGTAACATAAAAGTCATAATCAATATATATATATATATATATAGGGTCTTGATTGCGGCTTGAGATTGGATGTTTTTGGGACTCCAAGTCTCTAACCTGTTGCAAGGGGGATGAGTGTCTTGTAAATATTTGTTTTGCCTCGTATATAACATTATCACGTGTTGACTTGGACATATTGGTCGAATTATGTAAATAATTGTCTCTATTGTTTAATTTTTATGTTGATGATTGGCTTTATATTTTTGTTTGATTGTAACTTTTAATTTCAACATGTTAGTTCGTACTTGAAATTCTGAATTATATTTCACAAGGCAATTATTTAGTGATGTCATTGATCTACATAGTATCAAAATTAGTGTGTAATGAGTCTTATTTGTCCTCCACTACAAGAAAAAATGTCTTATACAACGGTATTAAAATCTTGTCATAAAAATATATTTTATGATGTCTTATACGACAATACTATTTTTTCGACATAAAAGAATATTTATATAAGACGAGAGGCACAGTTGCCGCAAACTAGAAACCATATTCAACTAAGTAGCATATTCGTATATTGCACGAGTAAAAAATATTTAATTAAAAAGGTCAATTTTGAAGAGTAAATGTAAGAGGTCCAACTTGAGAGGGTTAAAATATTTTAACGGTTGTAAAAAACTTTGGAAACTATAAGGGGCAAAATGATGTTTGACAAGTTAATAATGTTAAAGTAACGCAATGACATGCTTCAAGTCACCGTAGCTGACCAAAACAACATCCAAATGTACCTGAAAATTTAGAAACTATAAGGGGCAAAATGATCATTTTCCTCTTAAATTTTTGAAATCAGAACTAAAAAAAGAACCCTAAGATTTAGTGATGAAATTGGACCTGAAACAGATTTGAAAATTGCAAAAATAGAAAGTCTCCCAAATGTACACTGAATCTTTACTTCTTAATAAGACCAATTATGTACACCCATTTGAACTAAAGAGATTTAGTGACAGTCGGAATCAATCTTCACAACCACCTGGCTACCAAAACAGAAGCTGTTACTTCAAATGATACAACATTTTTCTGGCTTATTAGTAGATGATCTTGGAGTCACCATAAATAAAATGGAAACAAAGTGAGAATCAAACACCAAATAAAACAATTAATCTGAAATCACAAGACATTAAAATCAGATTATGTCTCTCAAAATACACTGAAACTGAATGTTAAAAATTGATTCAAAATATAAAAATACTAAAATGAAAATCGCTCTACCAAAATGGAAACTGTAACATCATTCAGTCTTTCAAAGACCAATTGGTAGAACTTTTTGGGTTGGATGATCTTGGAATATCTTTCACTCCATGTGAAAAAGCAGGTTGATTTGGAGGAAGCAATGGTACATTTTCATTGTTAAGCATCGAAAAGACATCATTCATGGTCAAGTACAACCTTTACAAATAGATCATGGAAATTAAATCGCTCTTTAATTGAAATCACCTTGCTACTAAAATTGAAAGTGTTACTTCATTGGCAGAACATTTTTCTGGGTTGGATGATCTTGGAATATCATTCAGTAGTACTCTACTTCGCACATGGGAAAAAGCTGGTTGATTTGGGGGACGTAATGGTAAACTTTCATTGGTAAGCATTGAAACCACATCGTTCATGGTGGGTCTATCTTCTGCATTTTCTTCCACACAAAGGAGTGCTATATTAACAAATCTTATCAACGTTTCCCTGGAGGGCGCTTCATCTAAAACTGGATCAACCAACTCTAATACCCTGTCGCTTGTCCACAAATCCCATACCTTAACATCCACACACACAAAATTAATCATCAAGTTAGAAGTATTTCACTGTAAAACATATGCTAGCTTAATTAAACCATGAATTGGACGAAGAACTTTTGTTTTACTACGCCATTGCTGTGTCGGGGTAGCGTACCTTGTTGATCCAGGACCGGTAATATATAGAACAAATCTTAAAACCATATAACGAAATTGAAAGAATTTTTTGCTACTCACGTAACCAAGGAGAGTGAGAAAGGGCGTGTGATGAAACTCAGTGTTCTTCTTGCCGCTCACAATTTCCAGAAACAATACCCCAAAGCTGAAGACATCAGATTTGACAGAGATTACTCCTTCATGGGCATATTCTGGGGAGATATTTCCACTGCAATTCGACAACCAATCTAGGATAATTAGTAAATCCATGATTATAGGTGAATTCATGCATAACTTATAAGCATGCTTTATCTACTTACTAAGTCCCAGCGATCCTCTGGGTGTTAACTTGTAACTCGCTTTGTCCAAAAATTCTTGCCATACCAAAATCTGATATTTTAGGATTCATGTTTTTATCTAACAAAATATTACCCGCCTTAAGATCTCTGTGAATAATTCGAACTCTTGAATATTGATGTAGATAAAGAAGTCCTTGAGCAATCCCTTCAATGATCCGAACACGTATTCCCCAATCTAATAATCTACTCTTAGTTGAATCTGATTTATAACAAATAAAGAAGATATTGGTAATTTAAAAAAAAAAAAAAAAGACAACCAATTAATAATGTAAATTAAAAACCAATTGATACTTAGAGAAAATATACAAACCAAAGAGGCACAGGTCTAAGCTTTTATTAGGCATGTATTCGTAGATCAAAATCTTCTCATCTTTATGGATGCAGCAGCCCAAAAGTGTAACAAGATTCTTGTGTTGAATCTTGGCTATGACAAGTGCTTCATTTTTTAACTCTTCCAATCCTTGCCCAGATCCTCTTGAAAGCCTTTTCACAGCTATCTCATCTCTTTTTAGTAATACTCCCTGAACAGATAATGCTTGTTAAATTTTTATCAGCAATATCATACTTAGCTAAAGCCTGAATTTATGCATAATTAAATAAAGTCTGACCTTGTAGACAGGTCCAAAACCACCCCTCCCAAGCAAATTTGAGTCTGAGAAATTATTTGTTGCTGCAGAAACACTTGCGAAACTGAATAATGGCAGTTCAACTTCCTTTTTACTATTTTTCTCAAGCTTATTTACTTCATTACTGAAATCAAATAGCATCAAATCCTTTCCTGTGTTGGGCAAATTAAGAAAAATGAAAATATTAGTTCAAGGAGTGTTATCACTGCTTCAATCATGCTCAAGAAAGTTTACCTTTGTTTTTGAGCTTTCTCCTAAAGTAATAAATAAGACCCAAAGTGGTGATTATCAGAAATAACATGATTATGAGAAATATAACACCATCTACACCATCTGACACGAATAGTAGAAAGATGAAAACTACGAAGAGTACCACTCCACCAACGAGAGCTAGCTTTGAATTTCGCTCCATTGAAATCAAATACTTTTGTACAAATGAGTCCGCAAGTTTTAGGAGAGGCGTTTATGACTAATTGTTGAAGGTTATTTCTCTTTTATATGACTTTTCCTAAGTCAACACGTCTTGCATTATGGTCAACACGTCTTATTGTTATAATTAATATGTATATAATATATTTTGCTCAATCGTTGTCAAATTTTTATTTGAAAAATATTATTTAACTTTGTACTCTAATAGATAATTTTCTTGATTAATCTGAAGCTCCATTGATAATTAATATTGATTTATTGAGATCAAATAATTAATTAGGTCTTAATACATACAAATTTGTATACAAAAGTAATGGGTCTGTCTATTAACAAAGAAACTGATAACAAATCTCAGTTTTCCAAGTAAAAATTAAACAAAGTGAATTAAGTAGAACTGTCAAGCACAATCATATGTATGTATAGGCTTTTCAAGTGTTCTTATACCATATATGTTGAGGATGAAATATTAATGTTAAACCGTTCATAAAGTTAAGTCTTTTTCAAATGATTCTACGTCTCTACCAATCCCATGACAAACGCTACCAAACAATCCTGAAACTAGAGGCATGAATGGAACCGAACTCCACCAAGAACCAGCTGCACACTTTCCTCTTCAAACAAATTACTCCATCTACTTAATATGCATCCTTCAATTTCATGGCCCGTTCAAACCCATAGGTGGCTCGGCCTGTGGAATAATTCTTAAGTATAACAAATGTGTGTACAACTATCCAAATCATATCAGTATGCACATTTGACACACTTCCTCACTTCAGTATAATAAGTCCCAGCGATTCTCTACGTGTTGCTCACTTTGTCCAAAATTTGATAAATTAGGATTCATATTTTTATATAACTAAACCAGTTGATGTTGAAGCTACAAGGATGATAACTATCAGACCTACAACGAGAACGAATAATGTAGTGCTTCATTGAGATCAAATGCTTTATGCTTGGTACAAATGAGATCATATTTCCATATTCTAGTTATATCTGTCTTTGAGAAACCGGTCAAGAAGTCTTGTTTTTACGAATGTTGGATCTTTAATTGGACGCGTTTTATCAGTCAAAACATGGAATGAAATACAATAATATGAGAAGGAGAAAGGATTTGCAAATTCTTAATGCAAAGTTCATTATATATGTTTTTATTATTGTACTGTTGTATTTTGTAATATACCAAAGAATTCTCTCTTGTTATAAAGGTAAGTAATTATTATTTGAAAACGTTAGATATATTATTAATTTCTTTTATGTGAAGCATAATTTAATTATGTTTACTATAACTCTTTGATATAATTTTGTTTCCCAAATAACTGCCTAGTCTTCATGCCTTTTGTTTGCTATGGTAGGCCTTCTTCAAATACTTACACATATTCATTCAAGCTCTCGTGTGAAAGCTGAAAAAGTCGCAGATCAATTATCCATTGACCATACTTTTTCAAAAGTTAAAAAAATAAAAATAATGAAATAAAGGAAAGCAGATTCCACTCAGGTCTTTAAGAAATTGTGAGGACGTTTCTGTCCAAGAAGTCATCACCTTCCATTGGAGAATTTCTTAGAAAACAGAGAGATTGAAAAATGTGCATTCCATAGAATTTTCTCGATGGCAAAAATATAATTTCTCTAGAAGATATTACTTGCATTTAAGTAGATAATCAAGAGATATTCCTAAAAGAAGAAGTAAAATTATTATTAAACGAGGAATTAGGAGAATAAGTAAGTTTATTCAAATTAAGAGGTTGTTTGTCTAAGCTTATAAGTTGGTCAAATTATTTTATAAGCTCTAAAATTAAGTTAACCTGTTTGTTTATAAATTTTTTAAGTTTATAAGCCAAAAAAATAAGTTGGGAGAGGTATTTTTTTTTTTACTTATAAGCACTATACTTATAAGCTCAAATATATTATCACATTATCCTTGTTTAATTTTAAAATTTTATAGTATACGCTTATTTAATGTAGTATATTTTTTAGTCATTTTATAATAAAATGTACTTATAACCCATATTTTACCAAACACGTTAACTACTTATTAGTTACTTATAAGTATTTTAATCAAACATGTTATTGCTTAAAATTTCAAATGTTTATAAGCTAAAATAAGTACTTATTGTTTATAAGCTAATTTTTATAAACTCATCCAAACACCTCCTAAGAAGTAAATGTGGACAAAAAATGATATCCAGAGAAGATCTCACATTATCCTAAAACTCCTACAATCCCTTTCCTATTCAAAGTCCTACTACGATAAGGAAGATATTTTCCTCCGACTCTCTCTACTCCATTATATAAAGGGAGACTAATGGCATAGAATGATCATTACAATTCATATGGAAAAGTCTCATATTAGAATATTTTAATTAAAACCTGACCCTAACCTAAATTATTCTCCTTACAATCACAATCCTGCAGGAACTTTATTAACCTCCAGGTTGGATCAGATCATAACTTCTGGTTATATCTGCTTATTTTTATTTCAACGTTGAATAAACAAACTCAGTTTGAGAAGGAGAAGAATCTGTATGTCAATGCCGTGTAGCATATTTTTATAATTTTATCCACACCTAGAACTAAATATGATGAGACAGTTCATAAAATTAGTAGGACTCAAATCACAAATAGAATTAGAACTCAAAACACTTAATTAGAGTAAGATTATGTCTCTCAAATACGCTGATCAATGTCAAAAAATATTATTCACAAAATAAATGTACTCATGAGATCAAGTACAACCTTTACAAATAGATCATGGAAATCGCTTTTTAATTAAAATTACCTTGCTGCTACAGTTGAAAGTGTTACTTCATTAGCAGAACATTTGTCTGGGTTTGATGATCTTGGAATATCATTCAGTACTCTACTTCGTACATGTACAAAAGCAGGTTGATTTGGGGGACGTAGTGGTAAACTTTCATTGGTAAGCATTGAAATGGCATCGTTCATGGGGGGCCTATCTTCTGCATTTTCTTCCACACAAAGGAGTGCTATGTTAACATATCTTATCAACATTTCCTTGGAGTGTAAACCTTCTAATACTGGATCAATCAATTCTAATACTCTGTCGCTTGTCCACATTTCCCATACCTTAATTACATCCGTAAACACAAAATTAATTATTAAGTTATAAGTAACCTCGATTATGTAACCAAATTGAAAGTGATTTAATTTGTGTTACTCACATAACCAAGAAGAGTGAGAAAAGTTGTGTGATGGAATTTGGTGTTCTCCTTGTCACTCACAATCTCAAGAAACAATACCCCAAAACTAAAGACATCAGATTTTATAGAGATGACTTCTTTATGGCATATTCCGGAGACATATATCCATTATAATAATCTATAAACAGTCTAGGCTAATTAGTAAATCTATGCATATAGATTATAATAAAAGTTGCTTTTATGTTAGATGCTTCATTTACTTACTATGTTCCAGTAATACTGTCAGTGTTAGCTTGTAACTCGCTCTCTTCAAAAATTATTGCCATTCCAAAATCTAGTATTTTAAGATTCATATTTTGATCTAGCAAGATATTACTTGCCTTCAAATCTCTATGAATAACTCGTTTTAAGGAATAATGATGAAGATAAAAAAGTCTATGAGCAATCCTTTCAATAATTCGAACATGTGTTCTCCAATCTAAATACTTACCCTTCACTTAATCTGATTTACAGCTAATAAAAAAGCTATGGTAATTAAGAAAAGAGAACCAACACTTGAATTTAAAAATTAACCAAATAAATAATTTGATATAGTTTGAGAATGTTTACAAACCAAAGAGCTAGGAAAAAGTCCAAGCTTTTATTAGACATGTACTCATAGATCAAAGTCTTCTCATCTTTTTCGATGCAGCAACCCAAAAGTCTAACAAGATTTTTGTGCTGTACTTTGGCAATGACCAGTGCTTCATTTTTAAGCTCTTTTAAACCTTGCCCAGACCTTCCTGATGAAAGCCTTTTCACAGCTATCTCATCTCTGTTCATTTATACTCCCTTGAAATTATCAAACTAGTTCTTGTTAAAAATTTATCTAAACCTACAATAATATTGTAATTAACAAGCACAGGAATGAAAACTTGCCTTATAAACAGGTCCAAAACCACCCTCCCCTAGCTTGTCTGTGGCGAAACTAAATAATGGCTATTTAACTTCATTTTCTCTACTTTTTACTTCGAAAAGCTCCAAATAATCAGCTTTTAGGCTCATACCCTCTTCTAATTGCATCAAATCCTTCCCTGATTAATGGTGATGAAGAGAAAAATGAAAAATAAGGCTCAAAGGATTTTATCATTCATGATATCTGTTTGTATAAATTAATACATGAGATTTTTTAAGTACCTTTGCTTTCGAGCTGTAATCTCTTCGAGTGGAAAAAAAGACAACACGAACTGCCGACGATCAATGCAATTAAAATGGCCACAACGATCATTACTCCCAATAAGCTACCATCAGTAATTGCAATTACTGAAATGGTGGCTATAAAACTAACTAAGAAACCACAAAACATCAAAATGCCCACCATTGAATATCAATTTTTAAGGGAAACTCTCTCCTGGCTATTAATGCTAAAAAATAAATTACAAAACATCATATATGAATATTACTTTTTAAATTTATTTATGATAAAATCGGATACAAGTCAATGTTTAATGATAGACAAATCAAATGCATCAAAATTTAAAGGTGGCAAAAAGCCCAGGCCCAGGGAAGGGATGACTGGGCCCATGCCGGTCATGGACCTGGTTAATTTTAAAAGATCCCTAATAAATAACCGAAACTCCCTATAATATATAAATACATAATAAATCTAATGGTTAAAATGAAATTTTTTATCAAGCCAGGACTAGTCCGATACAGGCTAGACCCGGGCCTGAGACTGATTCAGGCCCTCACAAAAATGACAGACCCAAGATCGGTTCCAACCAATTTGGGCCTGATCCTTGAGGGCCCGAGCCACCTAGGACTGGCCCGGGCCTGTTTGCCCACC